CTCAATCGAAGTAAAATTTGTTTGTGGAGACTGTAACACGTTGTGCTATGATTTGGCAGAGTTTTTAGCTTACACCTGCATCATTAAAAAAATATATTCATGCTGTCAGTGCTTTTTTTTCAGGCGAACCTGAAACTTTTTTCAATTTGAGCTGTGTACCATCTTCATTCACTATTAACCAGTAACATATACACAATATTTACATATCTCAACACATCTCACAAGTGTTACCTGTATCTCGCATCAAAATTATTCAAATACAGTCGACCTTGTAGTTAGAGCTCTGGACTCTCTTTAGTATGGGTATGCAATTTTCGAGCAGAGGCCTAAAAATAGGGCTAGGGCTATAAATTAACATGGATTGGATTCTCAATAATGGCGGGTTTATGCAGGAAGTCCCATTTCAAGCTAGTGACAAATCTCTCTGACCAATCAGTGGTCTGCCGTGTTTTAACTCCACCTTCTAGTATCGGCTCAGCTCGCTTGGAACCTCGCCCGGGGTGGTACCAAAAAAAGTACCAGGTGTTTTGCTCGTGGAAAGCCCGAAAAAGAGTGAGTCGAGTTAAATAGAGCCGTGCTGTACCACCTAGTGGAAATGCGGCACAAGTTAAGCTGTGGCAGCAAAACCAGAAGTAATAAATTAAGCAAGAATGTGTTTTATTGTCTATGAATGTAACTCTCCATTTGCAAAGAGGAGGATTGTACTATTTAGTCTTTTACAAAGCCTTGCTTTATACAGTAAAGTTTTTGAAGAGCAAATTGTATGTCATACGTCTGCATTCTTGTTCAAAATAATCTAGCGTACAATACACAAGGGTTCTACGTCTTTAGAGCCAGACAATGCTTTTATTTCAGTGTCCATGAACGTTGAAACATGGTAAAAAAAATCACCTCCTCCATTATGCAATACGCAGCATCTGAAGCCCTCCTAGTGGTGAAGGAAAAGGGGAAATATCTCTCGAGTCTGACGTTACTCTCATTTTTCTTCTTCATCGCTCACCCTCTCCTCTCATGCGAACCAATCAACTGTAACCTGAGCTGCTTTAATGGGGGAGAATGATGAAGAATGACCAGCGCTGGCTCGCATGCACAGACGCAAACACACACTCGCACACATTCGCAGGCATGCACACATAAAAACATGAGCAAACACACACACACACACACACACACACAAACTACCGGAGCAGAAAGTGAAGATAACAGGATGAGGCTCAGTCTGGGTCAGTGTTATTAGACAGCAGACTAACAGCCATCACGTCACTTAGCAAAGTAAACCTCCCTGATACACTCCGATGTGCACTGATGCAAACAAAAAAAGCCATCTAACCCAAAAGCTCGCATTTTTCCATCCGAGCCGTCGTGATTGTTGCTTTTTAAAACCAGAAAGTCATTGCCTTTCGAGTAAATTTATTCTACTCTGAGCTCCGTCTAAGCGTGTGTGTTAGTGTGTGTGTCTGGGTGCATGTGCTGTGAGACCACAGTCTCTGCAAACTGTGGGGGGAAAACGACCACAGACTGCACACACTGAAACCCACAGACTCCAGTCCGCGATCCGTCTATCTCGCCATCCCTATCTGTGTTTGCTCCCCCCCCGACTGAGCACCTAGTGGGGTCACCAGCACTCCAACCCCTCCATCCATCGACTCTGCTCCCTTCCTCCTTTCATCTATCCATCTCCCTCCTTCACATGACCTCCCCAATACCCATTGTTCATCTGTCTTTGTCAGGCACTCACCATCCGCACGTATCGCTCAATTAGAACATTTTCCGAAAAGAAACAAAGCCAACCTCTTCGATACTAGCTGCGAGTCGCACGCTTCATTCATCTCTGCAGGGTCCAAGACTCCTGGAAGACTAAAAACTATTATCCAGCCTGATACCTCTTGCCCTTACCTCCCACCCACCTCAAGAGCAAAAACCTCCAACCCATGCCTATTTTCCCTTGATGCTAGTCCAGCTCCTTCCCTCTCCCCTAGTCTCCAAACCTCAGACCACAGGGCTTTAATAGGGGGGTTAAGAGGTAATTCCTATCACACTGCCATCATTTAATATCTAACCGAGGCTGACAGAGAGGAAGGTTACGAACCCAAACCAGAAACCCACCAGCAAACCTCCCCGTCTCCTCCTTCTTACCCTCCTGCTGTTATTCTCTCTTTCCGTCTGCCTCCCTCTAACTTTTGTTCTCACTCTGCTGTCATTCTACCTACATTTATTCCCCTTCTGTCTCTCCCTCTCTCGTACACGCTCTCTCCGCTACATACCTGGCTATTTACACCGACACCACTTCCTTCATTCGCAGAAAAACACAGCGTGGATGGGATAAGAGCACCAAAAAAATGGACGAGAAAGATGAGAAAAGTGGAAAAGAAGAAGAAAAAAATAAATAAAAAGCAGGAAAACTCCAGACACTGTAATTTAGATTGTGCTGATGGCAAAAGTAGGGATATAAAGAACATGAGATTTATAATGTTAAGTTTGGAACACGTTCGCCCTTTTCCACTCTTGTACCGAGTCGTCTGAGAACTCCAGGGATCCATATCCGACCGGCGATAAATAAGAGCTATCGAGAACAATTACGGGTTTTATAGAATAGTAATCCAGGCGGTGGAGGGAATAAGACCGTCACTCATGAAGAACAAGAGAAAGTGTTGGAAATAAGAAGCAAACACAGTGAGAGTGTGTGTTTGTGTGTATGATGGAGTACGTGCGATTGCATGTGTTTGCATGAGAGGGTTTTGACTGTGTGGGATCCTGGAAGCCACAGTTGACGTAAATGACGATTTGCTTTCAGCCATAACAGTCCACTTTGCTGTGTTCAGCGATACATCACGATCATCACCACAATGCTTGAAACACGCGATGAAATATGGGTTTCACAGTGAGCCCCCTACTGAGAAGATCTCATCTTGTTGTGGCTTTTCTGCCAACACAAGAGATCAGATTGAGAAAGTGTGGCGGAAAATACAATTTATTGTCATCACCACAAACCACCAATATTATTATTACTGTATTTGTTGTCATTGTTCTTCTAGTGTTTCAAAATGAAAACAATTTTTTAGATTTAGATTTTGAGGGTCAATTGCAAGACTAAAGAGCATATTTTCCCGATATAATAAAAGCAGTGGGACAGTTAGATAACTCAAAAAGTTTTTAAGTTTAAGTATTTTCCTAAGACATAGGACAATTGCCCGAGCCCACAAAACAGCATTTCATCCTTAAGTTTTTCCGAGAACCTAAAATCACATAATATGCAGATGCACAATCTTTACCGGACAGCGATGATCAATGACTTAATGAAGATAAGACCTGTGTTAGTGTTGGAATAGACTGTGGAGCTGTGTACCGCCTGCATGCATGAAAGATGGTTGTGAAAGGTTGTAAGTTGCTCCTTTACAAAGACAGCTAGAACAGATTCCAATGGTGTCAGAGGTTCAGAGCAAAACATGTTAAAAAATGTCCACAGGAACTTCTCCGACATTCCTGCAACATAATCCAATATCCAGTCCAAGTGATCATCGGTATGTTCCCATCAATTCTGGTCCACCGATAACATGCTACTTCCTGTGAAAGCTTTGACACTTTAACACTTGAACAGTGTATTTAGTCATGTTGTTGCAGAACTATGACTCTTGGGTATTGTACATACCTATCAAAGGGGTAGAGGTGGACTTCAGCCCCGTGAGACATTTCTTCGGACATTTTGACATATTATGACACGTTACGGAAGCCGACGTTCTCTGTGAGGGAGCAACCTACAAACGGTTTCAGATCTACTTTTTGTTTTAGACTAAAGGCATTAGATTTCTGGTACTCAAAAGCTTTTTAATGGAGTTTTCCTTTCACTTTTATGGGTCTAATTTTCTGTTTGATCTCCTAAACGGCTAAAACGTCAATAATGCCAAAAACTCAAAAACACCATTGACAGAAGAATATCTACAAAGGAAGGTTAAAGTAGCTTCCAAGGTGTTCTGCCTCATGGAAACATTATGAAAGAGAGTGAGAGAAGTGAGAGGTTTAATGTCCCAATGCTGGTATTCCCTATCCTAATACCTCACACCTCGCGACACACACACACACACACACACACACACACACACACACACACAAAAAAACACTCTGATATGCTGATATAGTATATCAATATGGTGCCTGCAAGCACACACTAAGAAATACATGATAAATAAGTTCAAGAAGGCATATTAAAATGACTGCAGACATAAGCAGTCAAAAGCAAGCATGCACAAGAGACACACACACACACACACACACACACACGCACACAGTGTCTACCTAGCTTCACTTGAAGGCAGCCCAACATAAACAGCCATAAGGTTTAGAAAGGTGTGTGAACCTTCAACCTAAGCTGACAGCGAGACTCTCTGAGGATAAGACAAATAGAAAAGCTGAGTGGAAAGAAAGAGTGCAGACAAAGAGAGCACAGGGGAAGAAAAGGAGACGGGGCGGATGCACCGATGGGACTGAAACACACAAACAGAGAGAGAGAGAGAGAGAGACAGAGAGAGAGAGAGAGAGTATCTGGGAATGTGAGATGAAAAAGAGAGAAGGAGGGGAAGTGGGAGGCGTCTCTGCATCAGTATGACCTGCTCTTACACTCTGAATGCTCTGGGAAAACTCCATATTCTTGAATAAAAATTCCTCACAGGTCCAAGGAAAACATTCGCTCCAGGCAAACTTTCACCTCTTAAAACCGTGCGCACACACACACACACATAGACACACTCCTGTTCACCTCTCTGCAGGAGCACAGAGCGGCACTGTGACACCTGGCGCGGGACTTGAACCCTCAACTCGGATAAAAGTTCTGACATTGCACCGTGGCCGTGTTTTCAAATGGATCATGTAACACATCAAAAGAAGACAGAAAAGAGCCAGAGAGAGAGAGAGAGAGAGAGAGAGAGAGAGAG